CAGCTGCTCAAGTGCCGCACTTCACGCACTATTGTCTACTATTTTAATTAATCGTTATATGCAAAAGGATTGACCAAATCGATAAGGAAAAAATTTTTATGGTACAACAAACCTTTATCAAAAAGGTCGTGCAGGTCCGAAGTCTCAAATCAAATATAACGGCTGGAATGCGTAAGAAACTAAAAGTATCGTATCTCGGTTTCTATTAGTCCTATAGCAACTTTTTTTTTTTTTTAATTTATGTAAAAATACGCGTAATCACTTGCACTACATTGTATCCGTCTAAATTTAAAATTAAAGAAACTATGGCCTCTTGTTTGATGTTTTTTGTCCATGACTTTAATAATTGTTTATTTAAAAAATCCAATTTTTAAGGTAGTTAAAATAATTTTATTCCTTACTGATTTTTAAAAGTTAGATGTCAGTTCCATGCCCGTGACACATTTTATACGCCATCGAAATTTTTAATTAACAATTTTACAATAGCCCACCATTTTGAATTTTCGCAGTCAAGTTTGGTCTACAATGATCAACATACTTTATGTGTATAAAAAATTCGATTTTTATTCAGTTTTGAAAATTGTGTTAAGCATGTACTTTCATGCATTTTAATTTTTTTGCGTTTTTCGGATTTCTCGCTAGTTTGAACAATGAAAAATTTTTTTTAATTTTTCATAACACTCAATTATTGTGTAATAACATTAGATAAACAACTTTTGTATTTGACATTTTGCTCCAAAAACACAAATTTCCGAAATGTCTAGTAAAAACTGAAGAAAAATCGATGTCCAAGTTATTTTGCAATAAAAAAAATGACCCGTATCTCTGCTGAAGTAGACAATTTAGGGCATTATTCTACGTAGTCTAAATATTACGTTTACAATGTAGGTTAGGAAGTCATGTGTTATTAAATATTGACATACGAGAATTTAAGAACATACAAGATATTATGAATGTAAGTATAAGATATAAGGATAGTTTTAACAATGACCCAAATAAAGCAATATTTACCACTCTAAAATTATTAATGTGTAGAAGAAAATCATTTTTTTCTACCTGGAGGTAACGTGTACTTTGACAGTCATAGTAATCATTACTACAGTAATCACCATTCATTTTGACTGAACTGTATTGTAATCACAAAGGGTAACAATGATATACAGTTAATCTAAATCAGGTGTAACTTTTTATTCACAATAGAACCTTCTTCTTTTCTTCTAACTAGTTGTTATCGTTTCACATCCAAATACAACAGCACAGTGATTCACGATGCAAATTTTTCGTCTGCAAAGTAACATGTAGAGGGAATAGCTATAGGCACGCCAGAATTTCGTTGAAATCAGTAGTACCAATGACTGATTTCAAACTGGAAAACAAGTTTAGGTAAATTGTAACCGTTAAAACGACGATAAAGTTGTAATCAATGGCTCTTCACTATAATTCTGACGGTAATACTGTTTACCGCAAAGCTATGAAAACTTTTTCCGTGATGGCGGAAAAACACGACGTCAAAGGTCGATAATGTGGGGATAATATAAATAATAACATAAGTCAGACGTTCATCTAAAGGTAAAGAAGTAATGCGAGAGCTAAGTAGTCAATACATCAGGGAAAAGTAACCGTTCAGCTTTACGGTACACCCGTAAGCGATACTCGTCCGTCCTTATGTATTGCACCATTTTGTAGTTTATCTCTATACGAAAAAAATGTGGCATGGTAAAATATTGTTGACAAAAAAATGTCAACACCTTAACGAAACTGATGAAATAATTAAATGCTGTATGTAAAAAAAGTTACGTAATACAGTTCAGTAGCACCCTAGATGTGATGAATAAAAAATATTTAGAGAACAGTTTATCTGAAAATATTTCTGAACGATTCAGTGATTATTTTTTAAATTATTTCACCTTATTTTAAACAACATATTGCCACCATCTTTTAACACTTTACTTACACCCTAATCACTGTCAACTCTGGTTTTATTTTAAAAATCGTAAGACTATAATAGTCGTTTAGAATAGTGATGGTTTCGTGGTTACAAAAAAGGTACCAAAGGCAACACTTTTTTAGGGGTCGAGCCTATAATTACGAGTGCCAAAAAAATTAAAAAAGTCTACTTTTTGCTGGAAACTACACAAAGTGTTCAGCTAATGCATCGATTCGTAATTTAAATTTAAAATAATTTATAAATAATTTTTTATTGAAATAAAAAATTACTAAAGATGCAAAAATGAACAATGTACAATATGATCTATAAGGAAAGTAATAAGAACAATAACAACAACAATAATAATAATAATTAGAACTATTATAACAACAACAGTACAACTGTAAAATTAATGAATAATGTGGAAAATAAAAGTTAAGATTGCAGTTTAGTAAGCCAAGCTACTCTTCCTCCGAGCGTAAAGGATAAAGTTAGTCTTTATCCGAACAAAATGAGCAAAACTAGTCTTCATCCTAAAGAAGAAAGCTAAGCTATTCTTCATCTAGCTTCGTGAGGCAAGCTTTTTTTTATTTGTACGTAGTGAGTTAGAATTATCTTCATCCAAATGCAACGAAATAACGTAGTCTTCATCCAGCCTCGTGAGTTAAACTTTTCTTTCTCCGAGCTACACACGATGATATATTATATTATCGTGTCACGTGATACAGGAATATTCGCAATAATAAGGTATTACTAGAAATTACTTGTAGCTTCATTTTTCAATAACGTCAATCCTAACGCATAGTAGGCAGAATATGCAAAATTTACCTAGGAGGTTATGTTTCGTTCTCGACCCTGAAATCGTGAGAAACAACGTCATATTTTGACGGAGGAAAGTGGAAAATCGTATGTTACACAAGACGAAAGTACGGCATCAACTTCCAGATGTTTTCCTCCCTCACTTTTTACACTTAATTATACACTCAAAGAGAACGCCATTATTTCATCCTAGTGACTTAATGTGTTATAACTGTAGTCGATAAATAGACAGTGTGACGAAAAATTAAGCGCGGTCCTAAGTGGCACCAAATTATACGTAAATACTTCGTAAAATCTAGGTAAAAGTGTCTACATGGAATTAGTTGCATACGCCATACCCTACTTAAATTCTGTTTGGCTCCCGTGTAGGTTTAACGTAGTCTAAGCTGACTTAGACACAAGGGCGGCATAGTAAGAATTATAATTACTGATGTATATTTTTATTAATTATAAAATGTATGAATACGGAGAATTTTGACTATGGCACAGTCAATCAGGACCATGTTCAACTATCCGCTACAGTGTCTGTAAACCCGTAATAATGAAACTGCTAATAGCTTGCGAATCCAAAGTACTTACTCGATTAATAATTTGATTATTAGGTGGATGGTATATAACGGAAGCCTTTATAACCAGATTTGCTTGCTTTACTTAGTTTTATAATAAAAACAATCATATTATTTATAACAAAAGATTAAATTAGATTGAAATGTTAACGTTGTTACCAGTAATGTTCAAAGTCACTATCCCTAAACTTAACTACGCTGCTTTGTATTTTCAAAAATTTTGGCTTGAAAAAAAATAGTATCAATATGTTATTTGTTACAGTACAGGTATTTAGCCAATTTTTCAGAAAATCAGAAATTCTAAAAAAAAAGCATCAACTTTACACACCAAACTAAACCGATCTTTTACTTTAGCAGAAAGGTAAATTTTTATACGGATTTAAAAAATGAATTCTTCCAAAACCTTGTAAGCATACTACATGATCTGTATTTTCCTACAGGTTGTAAGATGTTTAGGTTTCTTTGTTTACTACAATTATAATAAGTTATAGATATAGGAGCGGCGTTGGCTCAGTGGTAAGTGTGCTTGTTACTGATACAACGCAGTTCTAGGGGTCGTGGGTTCGATTCCGGGTGAATGCAGATTTTTTCAAAAACTGTTTTCATCGGGAAAAGTTCCTATGAAATCCCGGCTGTTTCGGGGCGGGTTTTTCCGTGGAATTTTCCTTCAGAGTAATTCCAGGGTTTTTTCCTTGCCCCACAGGTCTTCGGGCCTGGGTAAATGCGAAACAGTGTTAGGGCTATAGGTAGGGATTAGCGGACCCGATGCCAGGCGTCGGGCAGGGATCGCTGGCCTTACCGGCGAGGAGTGGCCCCTGAAACAACGGGGCTTCTCCGGGGATGCTAATTAGCCTGATTCCGATGCTTCGGCAGAGAGCGCCGGCTTAACCGGCGAGGAGTGGACGTCCTGGAATAATAGAGTCTTCTCCGGGGAAAGGCTACACAGTGGTGAGTGGACCCGATGCACCATCGGTGCAGAGAGTGTCAGCTTAACTGGCAAGGTGTTCCACCGGAGATACTCACACTGTGCCCATGGATTCAGGTAGGAGGCGAGGAAAAAGGTTTAGAGATGGGTGTGGCAATACACCCCCACACATAGGTGGTGAGTGGGTGGCCCCCGCGACTAGGCCTAGTAGGCTGTTGTGGTAACCCGGTATAAAAAAAAAAAAAAAAAAAAAAAAAAATAAGTTATAGATATGGACGAACTGAAGACTGATTTTTCTGGTTTTCTGCTATTTGCAAGTAAGCTAATTTTTTAATCAGAATTATTTTGTAAGTATTGAAATACCTAGAACTTCTGCCTCCTTACTTTTTCTTTAATTTAACTTAAAAAAACTATCGGCAAAGATCACTTATTTATATTGGGAGTGGATTAAGTTGTCCAAAAGCATATAGTTGTTGTTTCTAAATGTGTTTGTAAATAATTAGTAAATTTTATGTAACGTGGGTCTAGTCATTTTCTTCTACTGGTCAATGAAAATCATTCTACAATAACTTTAACGAGAAAGATCCATAACTTCTAAGTTAAAGCAGGTTACAAACGTTTGGAAGATACATAGAAAAAAGTGCACAAGGGGAATTTATTACTGAATTTTAGCTTATAATTCTTATGTATATATTTTTAGAAAGATTTGAATATTACACATAATTTAAATTATTATTTATGTAAAAATTAACGGCATACTTACAGAGTAAAGTGATAAGCTCATTCCTTTTTTAACAAATACACACGATGCACAATAGTTTATCAAATGGGCCCAACGGAAACATGTGTAACTACCATAATTATACAGATAAATCATTAACTTTTCACATCCAAAAAACATCATTAATGATGTAATAATAGATAATAATGCGATTCGCCGATGCTCATGATACATTTTTGTTTACTTGTGTACTTTAGAATGACATAAAATCTGCAATTTCAATTTCATATTAGTTGACTTTCACATATAAATGTCTGTACTATTATACTTAATAAATGAAATGTAAATTTTTATGTGCTTGACGTAAATTATTTCTTAAGAAACTTTACACTTGTGGCTTTTTCTTAAAAACAATTACATAATGCATTACATTACGTATTAAATAACGTTATATAAAACATACCTAATCGTGTATTGTATTGCATAATAAATTACACAACATTGTGTACATTAATAAATCATGATATATATACACATAAACTACTTGTAGTTGAAACAATAACTATATTTATCCAAATTATGTCAAAGTTTATGAAAAATATCAAGAATCGTATAGAAAATAAAAACAATCATACGTTGCTGTAAGGCTAAAAAAAGGTGTGACTGATCGGCAGGTGAGTGTCTCACACAATAAACCTGATTGGATGGGTTTCTCTATATAAATAGTTTAAATTCATTCGAATCATTTATTTTAATAAAAAAGTAAATAAAAATTATTTAATACAATTTCAAATTCATTAAGAACTTCTAAAACTGTTTATATGCTTCAAAATCTTAGTATAAATGTTTGTGATTTTTATACGATGTTACTCGAAAAATTCATCACGATTATTCAGCCGACAACTTACTTGAGTTTAACAGTTTCAAAGGTTTGAACGTTCTCACTTTTTAAATACTTAATCTGCACTTCTTTTTTCTTGTAAAGGAATTCGTTTTTAATGTAGTTTGCCAGTAAACCCAAATGTCTCACGAAATGGACAAAATTTTGAGAGGTTATTATTGAACTTCCAATGTACCTATACTCAAAATTTCAGATCTGCTTAGCGTGAAAAATTTGGCATAGAAACATTGCAAAAATTATACTTATACGCTGATTGACATTAGAATGGTTACGGATTTCTACCAAAACCAGATAAATGTAACTGTAGTATAATCTCATGACAGTAAAATAAAAATCACACATTTATAGCTAAAATCACGAGCTTTCTTCTAGTACTTAAAAATTTGGGGATTAGCGTAGAGTTCATTGAGATATTTAACGGAAAAATTAACTGCTTGTTAGTTTTCCACGGGCTCAGCTTAGGAAGAGAAAGAGTTTTCACTACTATAGTTATATAGCATAGCAAACGTTACATTTCTTGACTCTGTGCACAACGAAAGCGCAAAGTTGCAAAATATTTGCTTAAGTTAAAAATTCATAAGATATAGAAAATTGATGAAAAGATACGGCAAACTAAGTTCAATATGGCACTTCTTATTTTTTAATCCGTTAAAACATGTATCTTGTCGTTTTTATTAAGAAATTAATTTAGTTAATTCTTTGTTCGGCAATGACAAAGTTTTTGCATTGCTTCTGTTAAAAGCTACGCTCTGGCTAAATACACCTTAGAAATATTTTTATGCATAAATAACCAAACAATTCTTTTTAATTTTACCATTATTTCATTCCTCATCGTTAGTTTCTTAAATTTTATTTCTGATTCGACAAAAAACTAGTGCATGTCCAGATATCACAAAAAAAAAAAAAAAGAGTATCAATACTCTTTTTGTAGTTTTAATTCATAGAGTAATACGCTAGAAGCTTGTGGCAAAAACAGCATAACAAATTACTTGTTTCTGCTTCTTCCAAGATAGTAACGTAGAAAAAATTTAGTTCATATAATACTTTACTCATCTCTGCTAATTTTCCATTTATCACAAAAAGTTAAGAAATGAATTAAGTGGGTTGAGAATTTCTCGGAAGTACGAAGTTCCCAAGGCATGTACAGTAAAATTAGAAATATAAAAATAATAAAGCATCTGTCAGTTAAATAATGAGGCTCTTTAATATTGATTCAAAAAAGCTTTTTCTCAAAATCAAAGAAAATAAGCAGTAAAACTTTCAACAATTCACAGTGTGAAGAAACTATGAGCTTGTATAAAAAGTCAAAATTGTATCAATAAAAAAGTTTATAGTTCACAATATCAATAAAATCCACTCAGTTTCCTGACACTCTGAAAAGTTATTTTCTAAAGCTTGCTTTCTCTGCATTCAAAAAAAATCATTGAACATACTCAACAAAAAATTTATCAAAAAAAAATATATTTTCCAAAATCAAAACAAAATGGCAAGGTATTGAAAAGCTCTCTCAGAAGCACAGCAACTATTTTTTTTTTTTTTTTT